GACAAAACGTGGATGCAAAACAATACCAATAATTACAATAACCACCACGGTGATTACTTTTTAACAATGAGTTTAAGGATTAACACTGAGCATGAAAATGCAAAATATGCATGGTGTGCTGTGAAGCGTCATAAGTCCTATTGAGTATTGATCTACTGTAACTGTGTAAAGCCCTTTCGATACATGTAATTGTAAATTTGTATTCTTACATGCAGGGCTTGAAATAACGTTTCCAAAGTTCCCGATCATGGTGATCGGCAGTCGTGACTTTCCCTGCTTTTTTTGGAAACCGAAACCCTGCTTTTCCGCCGATCATAAGCAATTCCTTGCCGATCATTGATCGGTGATCGGTTGTTATTTCAAGCTCTGTCTTAACAATTTTTAATTGATACTGATTTCAAATTATTAAAGCTATGTAATAAATATCCCATGCAACTGTTAGGAAGGGCGAAATTTTGAACGGAGGACGAAAATCCTAAAGAAAAGATGAAGTTTCTAAAGGGGGGCGAATTTCCTAAAGGGGGGCGAAATTCCTAGGATTTGGGGGGCGATATTCCTAGGAATTTCGCCCCCCGGGGGGCGAAAATGTAGGGGGGGCGAAAATCCTGGGACACCGGGCACCAGTGCCGCCCGGCACCCAGTCTGGACGCAGCCTTAAACGCGCACTGGCTGGGACCATGGCGTCAGCATTTTGATGATGAATCATGGCGTGGCAGCGGTTACTCGAGTCAACCTTCTGTGTGCCTTATTCTGTTGCTACGTGCCACTCACTCACCTTCCACCCCTGAATTTTTCTGCACAACCACCCACCCCCCACCATGCAGATAACATATGAAAGTATAAAGCTTTATTAAGTTAATATAATAGACATGCTCCACTACATCATGTACACTAACTGTAATTATAATACATTTTAGTTTTAAATTAATTTAAAATTATTCACTGTTAATAATTCCATTGAAGAAGTCCAATTAAAATGGTTCAAAATTAATCAAGCTTTTGTGTCTTCAATTTCCATACATCTTGCTTGGTACTGCAGTATTTTGCCACCCAGATCA